TATGTGTTTTTAACTCTAATCATTTTTTTATATTGTGAATATATGGTTTATGAGAGACACAAATTGTTTTATACAATATGATCTACGGTTTTGATATGAAAATTTAGGACAGGTACTGTAGAATTGATTTTGAAATACAGTGAACTAGTTTAACAAATTATAAATATTTGACTCTGATTTAAAATGAATACGTTTATGTTAGTTGTTTGAAAAACAATTGATAATATGCCTCTATTATAAATTATGTTTTTAAAATGATATTGTAGGAGATATTATGATTTGTTTTGTTATAATATATAATATGTGATACTTTTGACATGATACACTCTATCATCAAGATGAGATTTCTAGTATAATATATGATATGAGATGCCTCCTCATATGATATGTGATTCATGATACCTCTGACTTGATATGCTTTGTCGTTGAGATGAGATTTCCAATATAATATATGATATGAGATACCTTAAACATGATACAAATATATTGTTAAAATGAGATTTCTTATACGATGCTCTCACCTAATTTATGTTAGTTGACTCTGATTTAAAATGAATACATTTATGTTAGTTGTTTGAAAAACAATTGATAATATGCCTCTATTATAAATATATGTTTTTAAAATAATATTGTAGGAGATATTATGATTTGTTTTGTTATAATATATAATATGTGATACTTTTGACATGATACACTCTATTATCAAGATGAGATTTCTAGTATAATATATGATATGAGATGCCTCCTCATATGATATGTGATTCATGATACCTCTGACTTGATATGCTTTGTCGTTGAGATGAGATTTCCAATATAATATATGATATGAGATACCTTAAACATGATACAATATATTGTTTAAAATGAGATTTCTTATACGATGCTCTCACCTAATTTACATTTTTAGAATTCGAATTGCTTTCGAAAAATTATGTTTTTAGATTTACAAGGCATATAATATGAGTTTTAGTTATATATATCATTTGCTCACTATCTTGATTATACATACATATTTTGCACATTCTACGATGCATGTTCTAGCATGACTAGATGTTGTATTATCATTCATTAAGTTTCGTATCATCATTTTCTAACATTTTTTAGATCATAACGCTAAGTTTCCTTCTCATTCACACCATTGAGAGAGGGTGTATATTTTTACCAAGTTCAATTACTCATACGAGCAGTGTTATGTATACATAAGAGTTTGTATTCTAAAGTACTTCATTTGCCTTTTAGACAAATCTATCTATGGTGGTGTTCGGTTCACTTGATAAGGTATAATAAGATAAATTTATCCTACCTTATCACACGTTCGGTTCTTTGATATAATGTGATAAGATAAACCCTAGGCATTCCCCTTTATCCACTATAATCTAATTAGTATGGAATAACTTTATCCTAATGAGAAGTCCTTGTAAACTTTATCAGCCAGGATAGAATACAAACAATTCTTTTATGACAATATTGCCCTCCTTTCATTCATTCGTTCCTCCGCAGTCCACCAACAATGGTCGTCCCTTTGTTCATCTACAAGCGGCCAACGGCGGTCATCCCTTCTCGTTGTTGAGCGTTTCCCATCAATCATCCCTTTGTTTCCCCATTCTTGATAGATCTGTAGAAACTTGTGCAAATTGAGTCCTAACGGATCTACAGGGACATGCGCAGATCAGCCCTTCATTCCTCTGAAATTGGCCACTAATGGTCATCCCTTCTAGAGATTTAGCCCATCCCAATGATCGTCCCTTCATTTGCCCCTTCCCGACAGATTTGCAGAGACTCGCACAATCAAGCCTTAATGAATTTGCAGATTGATTGAGTCCTTGTGCAGGACGAGGACAAGGACCTGCAGCCTCCTGCTCTAGCCGACAAGGATAGAGGTGGTTGGAGGCAACGAACTGAACACCGGCGCTGACAAAGTAACAAACACCTTCTTGGCATTGACAGAGGTGATGAAACTGCACAGGGAACTAGGTACTGTTTTGAGGTTTTTTCTTTTTTCTTTTTTGGGTGAGTGAAGGTTATTTTGGTAATTTGTAAGTTCTTCCACTTTATTATCCACACTGGAATTGAGAGGGCACTGAATAAGCGATAACAAGGATAAAGATAAATATAACTGTACTGGTAGAATAAATTTATCCTACCTTATGTTATCCTGTCATGCCATCCGAACATGGCCTATATGTATACAATTGAATGCCTATGCTAGACTTGTTTAAATTTATAAATGTTCGTTCAATTCGAGACTTACTAAAATTGGTAAGCCATCCTTAATATGAGTCACGTGTCTTGTGACAAATTTATATAACAATTTCAACATTGTGAGATGAGATCACATATTCTTAGCGTGGATTTATTTCTTAGTCTTGGGAAAGCCTAAGCCATGGTCACCACGGTGCAAGACAAAAATTGAGCTATACTAAAACAAAAAGTATTTATCTACGTATGAGTTCCTATGCTTTAGATAACTATATACCCAAACTAAATTAACAAAACAAAATATAGATTGCATGAGGGTTACAAGAGAAATATTCATTACTAGTTCCATGTATATTAATAAAAAGACAAGAATGGTAGAGAGATAAAATTGATACCTTTTTATATTAATGATTTTTATCTGTTTAATTATTGAAATTGTTATGTTTCAAAAAATTTGCCAAAATAGTTAGAATAGATTTTCATACGGAAGTTGGTTCCTAAAAATTAACTTTTATACAGAAGTTGGTAGCAAAAAGAAATTGACTTCCTTTAAAAAGTTCCCTAAGGAAGTAGATTCATGTCGATCTAGAAAGGCTTGATTTCACAAAGGAAGTTGGTCACTTAGTGCTATGCTTCCCTTGGGAAGTCAGTCTAGCAAGGACTAACTTTTCCCATAGAAATCTATCCTCCACCACTTGGTCTACAACCATTACAGACTAGGGAAAAAGTAACTAGAGGCAAGGGGAGGATGAAGATGGAACCGATTGGGAAAAAAAAAGAACGGAAGAGGGGCAACGGCCAAAGCAAGAAAGGGAGGAGAAGAGGGAGAAAAAATGAGGCGATGGCAACAAGGGTATGGAGGTGGAGAAGGCTAGAAAAAAGCAGATTGAGCTCCAAAAAGTTCTATTGCTTTACCAATAAAGCTTCGATGGAGCTTTGTTCCCAAAGCTCAATAGAGCTTTGCCCCTTTGACAGAGCAAGATTTACAGATGTTGCCTTCGATCTACGCTCATCGCCTATTGATCTGTGAGCTTGTTCGCCTCCTACCTTCCTCTATTGAGCACCCTACCCAACATTGCTTCTTTTATCCTCCCTTTTCTCCCTCAGTCGCCACCCCTCTTCCTCCTCTCTTGCTCCTTTTCCTCCCTTAGATGATTCTCTCTTCCACCTCCTTTGCCTCCTTTCACCGGTTGTTTCTCCCCTGGTCTACAATTGGATGTAGACTAGGTGATGGAGGATGGACTTCCCTTGAAAGTCAATCTAAACTAACTTCCCAAGGAAGTGTGCCTATGAATGATTGACTTAGTTAGATCAATAAGAACCAATTTTTAAGAAAGTCAATGTTTCTACTTCGACTTCTATACTAAAGTCTGTTTTAACTATTTTGATAATTTTTTTGAAACTTAATTAAAAATAATGAATATTATTAATATAAGAAAGCCTAAAATTGATAAGTATATGCCAAGTTCTATTATTTTTTGTTACGGAAAAAACACTCTAATTATTTTGGAATCTTGATTTTTTTTTAAAAAAAAGCTATTTTTTTGTTTGATTATTTTAAAAATATAAAAAATAAATACTTTTTTACTTTTTTATTTTAATGTAACATATTTGAATGTGAAAAGGACGACTTAAAAAAAATAGCTTCCAAAAACTATGCAAACTAGCTTTTTAGTACTTTGGAAATTGAATCTTTTGGGATTCAGCATTTCCAATCAAACAATTTAAAAAGTCAAAAACCAAAAGCCCAAAATAACTGGTTCTTGTCATGAACCAAACGCGCCCTAAACCAAACTAAATTGACTTAGAAATTGCAAACCTAACTTACCAAACTAATATATATTTAGAAGCCAACCTGATTCAAAAAAATTATTTCTTTTTTATCAGGTAAAAATATTAGTATTAGAAACTGTTTCAAGGAGCCCACGTTGCACATCAAATAATTGATTGAAGATGATTACATGATCTTCACTTATAAACTTCAGACACTTTTTTAATAAAATATGAACTGTATAAAGTTTTAATGGTCTCAAGTTCACTTCATATATATAACACTACGTGACCACCAAAAATATTAGATTACAAAAGCAATCAATTGAAAGATTTAATGAAATATATTAGAGATGTTTAACTCATACAATCACAAAAATAAGTAAATTATTACTTATTATGTTTTGCCCTTTTTTTTACTATTACAATTATAAAGTTTTCTAGAAGTATAAAACTATGGATATAATTTTCATTTAAGAAATAAAACACTTATTAAATTTATTTTAAAATTAAGAATTTATTTATTTCTTTTTCCTTATTTGCGATTTAGCCCATCCTAGCATACATTATTATTTTAATATTTATTTAGAGGAATGATCAATTAACACTTAATATAAGTTTAAAACACTTACACTACATCTTACACTATTGATTTAGTCAAAATTAACGGATGATATTTATTAAAGAAAGATAACTGTAAATTAGTTATTAGAAGTTAGTTATTATAAGTTATTGAAAATAAATCTCATCCAATAATTTTAATCAAATCAATAGTATAAAATATAATGTAAATATTTTGTATTTATACAAAGTATTAATTGATGATTATGCTTTCATTTAAGTGATTGAAAATGTTAATTTCATTAAAGAAAATGTCCCCACGTAAACAAAGATCTATGTTTAACCTCATCAGTCAAATAATATGATTATTACAGAACATCTTCCTCCAACACCCCACCTTTCGTTTTACCGACAATCTTATTTTACCATTTTACCCCTTTGCATCTCCCAATTATTTTTTTTTAAAAAAACTAAATTAAAAAAGAAGCCAAACGCTTCATCTTCTGCGCTCTCCCATTCTCAGGGTTGAGAACGTAGAAGCAATGACCCTCTTCACTTTCTTCGTAAAGCTCCAAATTTCCCTTCCACCCGCTTTCTTTAACCGCTTCGTAATACCTTATCCCTCTATCTCTAAGCTTATCTTTACCCGCGACACAGACCAAAATCCGAGAACACCGAATCCCCGACAATTTCGGTGCCCCGACAGCGAATGGGTTGATCATTGGGTTATCCAACCCCTCCAAAGCTCCCGGAAACACCAGCTTCCATGTCCGCTCCAACAGGTTCTTCTCGAGCCCGACCTGAGGCTCCGACCCGATTGCCTCTGAGCCTCAGAAGAACGGATGCGAGAGGACAACCCCCAGAACCTCCACGCCCCCCGGGAGCTTCTCGCCGGAGCCGGCTGCCCCCACGGCGATGTTGTGGGCTATGTTAATGTTACAACAAGAGCTGACGTGGAAGATATAGTTACAACAAGAAAATAAGAAACAGTTAATGCTAATAGAAAAGAGAAGTTGAGAAGAAGTCCTAGAAACAGAAAAGCCAAATACACGGTTAACAGACTATATCTCTAGTTGAGCATAAAAGATGAGGAAGGGAAGAAAAATGGCATAAGTTTGCTGAAGTGGAAATTCTCCTTGTTGTATTTTCCGTTCTGAAGTTTCTTCTCTGCTTTTTCTTTTCTCGGTTTCTTGTTTTTGATATTTAATTCTACCCTGTACGGGAACTAGTTTGAATAAAACTGAGCAGAATTTGGCTGAATTGTTACAGTTGGCTCCCGCGCTCTCGCCACCGAGGTAAATTCTGGAGAGGTCTCCGTGGCGGCCAGCCACGGGTCGCTGGCGCGGGCCACCCACCTGAGGGCGGTCCAGGAGTCTGCATAGGCGGCGGGGAGGGGGTGCTCGGGGGCAAGGCAGTACTCCACGGAGATAGCCAGGACGTTGGAAATGGAGACGAGGCAGTGAGGTAGCGGTGGGACAGGAAGGAGAAGGTGGACTCAATGCAGACCACCGCCGTGAAATTAGACAAGGATGGGGAGTTTCCGGCCGTCGGCACCAGCGCCTGCGGGCAGGTAGAGGCGCGCAGAGACTTTGGAGAGATGGCGACGTCTCTGGAGGAGACTTCGGTGGCCGGGTCAGAAAGGGATGGCGGAATGACGGGAGAGTCAAGGAATCGTTCGACAGTGCCGTCGTTATAGACCTTGAGAAATGGAGGAGCTCGTATGCCACCTCTTTTGCCTGGGAAACCATTTTAAAGAGAGATAGAAACGATGTCTGAGAACTTACGAAGGAGAAAGCTTAAACTAACATAAGAGAGAGCTTTGCATTACATAGACGCGAGAGAGAGTATTTGCACGTATTTTTTAATCGATTGCTTGTCCAGCCTAATAAGTTTGCTTTTATATTATTTTGTTTCAGAAAAAATATTTGTGATATATTTGACACGATAAAAGATGTAATTAATGAAAATAATTGTTAATAAATTTTAATTTCATTTAATTTTCAACTTTAATTAATGACATGGAAAATTAAAATTATAAAATATATTAATTTTTATAATAAATAATAAATATTAGAATGTGTTAGGTAAAAAATGCTAAAACCGTAATATTCATGTTAGAAATAAGTTATAATTTGACTTTGTATTTTGCGTTTTATAAATAAGAATGAGTGAGGTCAGAAGATGGAACGCAGAAGGAAGCCTAAATATATAAATGCCAGGAGCGAGGGGCAGCCAGATGATCATCTTTCTCCTGTAGAGCAGATCCGTGTTGCCTGTATAAATATTATCTCTCTCTCTTTTTATTATTAAAAATGTATATAACTATATTATTTTAGTGGTAAAAGAGTGAAATGTCATATTATAATAAAATAAGTACATGTGCCAACAGCTGAATTGGGTTAGTCTTGTTAAAAATAGATCACATATGTGCAACAGCCAAACGCGGAGTTGACTCTCTCTCTCTCTCTCTCTCTCTGACCTTTTCACAGCATTGTTTAAAATGAGAGCAATCTACGCGAGTATGACAAATGAATGTGTCATCCTTAACACAGAAAATCGAGAAAAACAACGAAGCCACCTGAATTTTATAGGTCTACTTGGAGGCCTCTCCGTGATAGGTTAGAGTAAAATTTAGATATGTAATTTTTTTTTTTTTTTTTAATAAGATTAGTTTAATTATTATTCAAATTTATTTTTGTTAATTTTAAAAAATATAAAATTACTAATTCAAATTTATAATATTTTTCTTAATTAATAATATAGTTAATTCATTAAAAATATTAATGAAATATTTAGCGTTGGATAATAGTGTGGATACACGGTAAGGAGAAAAAATAAGAGTTTATGAAGTAAATAAGTGTTCAAATTAAAAGATAATTATTTTAAGAATGAAAAATTTTAATTATAAAATAAATGAGAGCAAAAAGTTAAGAGTTGTAGGAAATGATTGGGTTGCTATTAACTAATTAATATGATTAATGCAGAAATTATAGACGATAATTTTTTATTATAATTATTTAAGTTATTATTATAATAATAAAGTAATATAAGACTTAAAATTTTGAGTTAAAATTTTTGGAGGCCACGGCAAGACCTTCAGTGGCTTTTTATTAAAGCTGGCTGCGGATAAATAACCTCTAATTTGTATAAATTTACATAATTACCGCACAGTAACACGGATGTTCCCTGCTCCATAAAATAGACAGAAGATGATTGGCTAACCGCCTGCCTGCTAGCTTTAAATTGAGTGATACATGATGAAAGTGACCTTAGGCCAAAAACATTAAATAGGAATTTATATTGCGTGTTGTTCGGGTTTGTTTGGGTTTTTGAGCCACAAAAATTGTATTTTAATGAATGATTTAGGTGTTAAAAAAATTAATTAAATATTTAATATATTTATATAAAAATATTTAGTTTTAGATAAACAATTAAATATGTATAAAATTTGTTTGCGGATGGGGGGGGGGGGGGGGGGGGTTGGGATCTGAAAGGAAGAACCCTTATATGGAGGTATGAGCAACTATAGGCTCCATTTCCTCCCATAAGCAGGGTCCATGTTTCTTGTATAAATAAAGTGTTAGTCATTGGAGGGCATTATTGTACTAAAATTTGGACATCTACCATCCATAAAAAAAAAAAAAACTGCCCCATCTTAATCTTACATAAATCAATGACATTTTGTAAGAGCATATTTGGTACTCTTTATATGCTTTAATTGGTACATGAGTGTAACATTTGTTATGTCTTTCATCAATTCTTTAACTTGTTTAATTTGTTGAATTTAATATTTTAATTTGAAATACTAAATTTAGTTTTATATTATATAAATATATTTTATAAAAATAAAATAAAAATACTCATTATATTCAAGAAAGATAAAGAGACTGCCACATTCATTTAAAAAAAGTTATTTTTCTATTTCTTGTTTACAGATTACTTGATTTAACATGAGAAAATTAAAAAATTCAAGAAAAAGTTGAAAAAAAGAATTTTTTTTAAATATGATTTTACTAACTTTTTGTTGTTTGGTTACCCTAGATCTAGAAAAATTCATTCTTAGAAATAAAAAATAAAAAAGTATTCTGACAATTTTTTCCTTACAATATGCGTCATTTCAACATTGACATAAAAATTAAAAAAAATCATAATACAAAAATTTTAAATATACTTAAAACAAATGATAAAATTATATTCTTAGTTCGATTTTTGATTTTTTTTAATTTTAACTTTTTCCATTTAAATCATTAGCTAAATTTAAAAATTAAAATAATAAATATAAAGAAACTAAATATTTTAGGCGGACCAAGCAATTTCTTACTATTTTTCAACTTGATTTAAAATAAAAAGAATTGTCTCTCTTTCTCACATGAAATAGAACTTTTTCATTCCTTGCTTCTTGATCCTTACAAGATCCTTTTTTTTTTGTATATTAAAAATATGAGATATGCTTTAATTAGGAGAAGATAAAGGATGAAGAGTCGAATCCATACTCCTAAAATTAATCTTATAAATATTGTATCATTTGAATTAAGTATTAGATGCTATCCTTGATAGATTTTGACTACTAGAATACTCATCATTTCTCTTTATCAAATATCTGCCAACTTCTGACACCACTTGGGTTCTACCATTATGAACCACGAACGCCACCACTTTGTATTACCACTTAGGATGACACCACTTGGGTTCTACCATTATGAACCACGAAAGCCACCACTTTGTATTACTACTTAGGATGATTAACGAGCTAGATTTTAATTAAATTAAATTAATTTAAATTTAAATTTAATTATTATTTATTTTATATTCGAATTCAATCTAAAATTTTATAAAATTTATATTTGTTAAATCATATTTGAATCTGATAAATAATCTAAAGTTTAATAAAAAAATTCTAATTCATTAAAAAATTAGACCTTTATGCTTAAATCATTCAATGTTATTGCATTAATCATAATGATTTTTAAATTTAAGATTTTTTCAATTTAGCCTCTACAAGTTCAAATTTATTAATATTATATATGTAAGATTATTAATTTAATAAAAAAATATTATTAATTTTATATTCATCTTTTTAATGAATCAAATTATTTAATTTCATATTTAATATATTTATTTCAGATTATAAATATTTATAATTGTATGAGATCTATTGAATATTTTAATCAAATTTGAATATTAAAATTTGAATCAAATACTGATTATTTTTAAATTAAAATTCAACCCATTAACCATTCAAAATTTCAGTAAATTTAGAAAAAGGGAAGTATTTTTTACCAAATGTAATGACCCAAATTTTAATTTAATTGGGCTTAAGGGGCTTAATTGCATAGTTGTAAACCTAGGGGCCCGAATTGAGAAGACAGGCAAAGATGAGGCTTAATTGGAACTTTCAGGGACCAATTTGAAGAAATTGAAAGAGACAGGGGTTTAATTAGAAATTATATAGGGGAATTTGAAAGAATTAAGAGAAGGAGGGTCAGATCTATAAATTGGTTTGTAGGTTCCAACAATGGACCGAACACTGTACAGGCCATACCTTGATCATTTTGGTTAAGACTTTTTACTTAAAATCGGGTTTTCATGTGCGCACAGACTCACACAACCTTTGCTTTCAATCAATTTGAGGTTTGAGAGAGAAATCGGGGACAGTTTTGAGTTTTAGTGGCCAACAGAGCTTACGGGCGACCGGATGAGAAATCTTCAGATTTAAAGATATTTTGGCTAGATTTCTTTCAATTAAACAGCTCTGTGAGGTTCATCTAGTGGAGTTCTACAAGCTTTGAGAAATTGTTTGAGGTATGTCATGTTTTTTTTCAAGTTTTTTTGAACCTTTTGATCTAAGTCGTGTTGAAGACCTAGATGTGGTAGTTGAGTCTAGAAGCGGGTGGGGATGAAGGACCCGGACGTATCTAGGTCCGTACTAGGTTGACCTGGCTGGGTCGACCCAGTTCACCGAGTCGACTCAGCAAGGTTGGGCCTAGGTGTCTTAGGCTAGACTAGGCTAGGGTAGCCTAGTGGGGCTGGCCTAAGCTATTTGGGCATTGGGTATTGGGCTTAGGCCAGCCCAAGCCATGCCTTTGGGTTGGGCCTGAGCAAGTCAACTCAACAAGTTGACTTAGCCTATTTGACTAGAACAGTGGGTTGACTCATTGAGTTAACCTGCTCAATTGGAATTGGAATATGTTATTCAAGAGGATAGGGCAAATAGGGATAAGGATTAAATTGGGAATTAAATAACTAAGCCTGGGATAGGCTATCTAAGGAAAAATTAGGGTTTCTGTTGACTGAACTAGTCTAGAGACAGTTCAATATTTGATCGACCAGTTCAGTGGTCAAATCAACTTAAATTTTTTAAGTTGGATTGGTTTTAGATTCAGGAGAAAGAGATCTATTGGACCGAGTTGGCTCGGGGGTTTAGGGAAGTCCGATTCGACTGAAAGTTCAGCATTTTTGGTTGAACCAGCCTGGTTCAGGCCAGTTCAGAGATTCTTGTGGCTAGTTTAGCTTTGTGTTGGGTGATTCTTGACTGGTTTAGACTGGTTTCTAGGGTTTTGGGGTTGGTTCAATCTGATTTTGAGGATTACATGGCTAGTTTAGTTTGGTTTAAGGTAGTTTTAGGCTAGTTTAGGCTGGTTTGGGGTTTTTGGTGACCGGTTCACTACGGTTTAAGGGTTTTTAAGGATGTGCATGTGTGTACTTAAGTCGTGTGGGTTTGTAATGTTGGAGGTGAGCCTTGGGATGCGTGTTAGGATTTAAAAGTGGGATTTGAGCCTAATTTTATGTTGTTGAGCCCTTTTCTCGTGCCGATTTTAGAGTCAG